ACAAGGAGACAACTTGCCCCTTTTTTGTTTTTAAGGATTTTATGACCCATTATTACAGGAGAACAAACAATGGTAGCAGACATGATGAATATCAAGGGAGGCATAAAGCAATAGTGATTTCAAAGAGGTCCAGTGAGTGGTTTCTACTGACTCCTCTTCTCCCGCTTATTCTGAAGTTCATTCATTCATCAGTCCTTTGCTCTCCACCCCGTGGCTCCTTTTTTCCTTTGGCCTTAGTCACAGATCATTTATTTATTTAGCTTGTTATTTACTCCTTCCCCTGCTCCATAAAAACACTGAGCCTGTTTATAAAATTACACAGAATAAAAGGTGGAACAAATGACCAAGACAGGCAATGAGGTTGACAAGGGGACATTGACAGAGCCAGCCACGAGAGGAACACACAGAAATGTCAATCATATGACGTTGCTTAGTTACTATAAATGGGCTGTAAATCTGGATCCAAGAGTCCTAGGAATTACAGAAAAGAGAAAAACTAATCAGATTAAAGGTGCACGTCTATCAGTAAACCAGGAAAAGACCCACCTTTCTGATGCAGAGACCAGAGGGAGGTGAGTGACCACAGTTCTCATTTGCTGGTGTGTGAGCCAGGGACTGAGTTAAATGCTCTTTCGACATTTTCTCATTTGATCCTGACAATCATGTGGGGTGGATACTAGTATGATGTTCATTTTACAGATAAGGAATCTGAGACTTTAAAAGCAAGTTAGTAATTTTCCCAAGACCAAAGAGTTAGTCAGTTGTAGAAAGGAGATTCAAACCCAGGTTATCAGGCTCTGTGCCAAAACAGGAAACTCATCCGCTGAGCAGTCAGGGGCCCTGTGGGGGTATTTCTGCAACAGATGCAATTGGAATTTTTGTGGAGCTGTGTCTCCTCATCTCTTTCAATGTAATTCCTTAAAATAGGCACAAAAGCATAAAGTTGAAATTCAATGAAACAGTTCCTTGAACTAACAGTTTGTCCATGGATTAAGTTCTTTGGTGATCCAATTTCCTTCTCTGTGTAGATGTATAAATACTGCAAATTCTACCAAGACATAGATCAATAGGTATTTTCTCAAACCATAGTAAGTCATTCTAATGCATCCCAAATCTATTTAAGTACAATTTATTTATACCCCAGGAGAAATTCAAAGCTGGTGTCTTTGGTCTCTCCACTCCCATGCCAACCTCTACACAAAAAACACAACCAGAACACACAGTGAAGACCTCTGTTAGGAACATCTAAAGGACAACTTCACCTGCTTTGTGGTTCTTTTCTTCCAGCCTGGTCTTTGTGAAATGCTTTAGAAATCGGGTATTCCCTCTATTTAAGACCTCGTACCATTCACGCTTTCTCAAACTTTCAGCATCCAGAAGCCGCTTCAAGCTAATGCAGACCACCAATTTTAGGTAAAAAGTCACAATTTAGTACTAAAAACATCATATGCTTTAAAAGACTTTTTATAATGGAAAAATGCAAACATATGAAAGCAGAATAGTATAATCATCCTCTAAGTACTCATCACTCAGTGGCAACAATGATTGACTCGTGGCCAATCTGTTTCAACCCTGCTCCCATCCACTTCCTCTCTCTCCTATTATCCTGAGGCCAATCCCAGCTATCATACCATTCCATCCATAAATATTTCAATATGTACCTCTAAAAGATATGAATCCATTCTTTTAACACTACAAGACCATTATCACAACTAAAAGTATTCATGAGAGTTCCTAAGTGTCAACAAATATCAAATTTCCCATTGTCTAAAATAACTTTAGGTTTTTTTTTTTTTTTTAGTTTGTTTTGTTTGAATCAGAATCCAAATAGGGCCCACACATTCCTATTGGATAGAACATTATTTTAAGTACAATAATCATTTCATGTGTTTGTAAGAAGACATCATTTTCAATCTCTTCCCAAGGTAACTGTCCTATTTGTTCTGTCCTATTTGGTCAGGTTTCTTTACTTCTGCTCCATTAGTTTCTTTCCTTGCCCTTTATTTCTACTAAGCTAAGCACGCCAAACTCACTATTCTAAGTCACTGTAAACAGCATCAAGTGTCTAATGTCTCTTTCCAGTGGCTAGGGATTCAGAAATGGGAGATTTCTCACGGAAAACACTTTTGGCCCAATTACAAAACATGTTCAAAATCTGGGTGGAAGCATGCTTTATCTTGGGAGATGGGGGCAAAACAGGCCCCCCTCATCCATATGGACTGCTCCCTGCTCTGGAAAGCACTTGTCCAACATTACAGGTAGTTCTAAACTATGCCCAATGATACATTGCTCTCCTCCTTTAGTGAAGACAAGTATCAAATATTGAGAGAATCCAGCTCCATTCAGAGCAGACTGGACCTCAGCTTAGTCTTAAGAAAACAATCTGATTTCTCAGCTAATTGTTTTCTCTTTTAAGAGGCCGAGTTTATCCTTTGTATCCTACAGGTCAATGCCAGAATTAACAAGGTCTCTGAGACAAATCACCAGTGGACATGCCATGATGGGCAAAGTCAAGATCTCATCCATAATTGTGGAAAGCCCCTCTGATGGAAGAAGGGAGAGTGGAGGGGTAGGGATCAGAAAGAGCAGTTAGGAGGACACTAAAATGTCCAGGCAGGAAGTGATGTGCTCTTGAAGTTGGGTAGCAAGAGGGCAGACAGAAGGGGAATGTGAGAAAAGAGGAAGTTTGGGGACTGATTGGTTGTGGGGGTGAAGATGGAAGAGGAAGGAGTTTTTAGTGACATTCATGTTTCCAACTCCAGTTCTGGGAGGCTGTGTGAAAAAGAATTTTAAACACATACACCCACACACAGAACCCCATGTGAAATACTCTTTGTAGTTAGAGCAAGGGTTCTCAACACTGGCTGCACATGAGAATCATCTGGGGAGTTTAAAAAACACTATGCCCAGGCCCAGCTCAGGCAAGTTGAATCAGAATTCCAGGGAAATTCTATCTCCCGCTCCGTTCCCCAGCACAGGTGGTGCCAAAGTACAGCCAGGGCTGGGAACCGCCGGGGCAGGCATGGACAGCATGGGCTGTGGGTCCAAAACGACTCGCCTGTTCCAAAACCTGTGGGAGGGCTCATTGTTGGAACTGTTCACAGCTTGGATTTTAGTTTGGCTCAGCTTGGACCCCTGTTGCTTGGGGTGAGAGAAAACCTGACCTTTGGAAGTCAGCTCTCTGGCAGAGAGACTGGCAAGGACAGCCTGGCAGGGAACAGGAAAGCAGGGAGCCAGGTGTCCGGCACACGTGCTTCCCCTCTGCCCGCGGAAGGCAGTGACTCTCACTCTTCTGTGCGTCACATTCAAGCTGGGATCTTTGTTAAATGCAGGTGGCTGGGCCCCACTCCCTGCATTGGTCAGGTCCAGGGTGTGTGGCCCAGGAATCTGTGTTTTGATGATTCCCAGGTAACTGTCAGAGGGTTCATGGCACAAACTCCGAAGCCTTGAGAGGCCTGCAGATGTAACAGTCTGTGGGCCCCACGGTGGACATGAGCAGGGCAGATTCTCCTTCATTCTGGCCCCTGGCCCAGGAGACTGAATGGGCAGGTCTGAGGTAGCAGCCAGCAGTCAGTATTAGAATAGTGTTAGTGCGGCTCTATCCATTGGGGGGGGGGGGGGTGGCCTTCATGGAAAAAAAATGCACCTGCCCCATTTTCATTGTATAACAGAAGGTGGAAGCGAAGCAGGAAGGGCCCTTGGCTCACTTACTACATTTCACCCAAAAGGGAAACTGGGGGGTTTTCCTAGCCTGAGCAAGGGCCGGAAATGCAGGAGACAGAGGAACTCAAGCAGCAGCCTCTGGCCTTTCAGAGAACTTGTTTCTGCAGTGGGTTTCAATGTGAGGTCCCTGGAAGAACAACATCAGCACGCTTGTTAGAAGTGCACATTCATGCCCTGGCCGGTTAGCTCAGCGGTTAAGAGCGTCGGCCTGCGGTCCAGAGAAGTGCACAGTCACGGGCCCCACACCCTACCTACTGGGTCCGACTCTGGGGTGGGGCCCTCAGTCTGTTACAACAAGGCTGCAGGTGATTCTGGTGTTCAGGTCTGAGGACCCAATGCTTCAGTGCTCATGGGCTCAGGGAAGGTTCCTCCCCTCATTCCCTTCCTGTGAGGGGAGGGAGAAGACACGTAGCACCCCTCCCACTCTCTCCTCTAGATGTTGAAAAGGTGCTGAATGACACACAGGCTGCTTGGGCCAGAGAAAAGCAAGCCAGGTTCTGGGCAGCTGCCACCTGCCCAGCCGGCTGCTCCCCCAGCTGACTGTCAGCTTTGATTTTCTTCTCTCTAAGCCTGGAGAAGGGTGCAGGCGGGGCTTTCCCTCAGAAAGAAAAGGCATCTGGGTGCCTGCCTGACCCCCCAAAGTTGAGGCAACTCTGGTCCAGATGCCCTAGGGTCTGGTTCCACGGTCCTCCCTAGAGAAACATGGGAGTAGGACGGAGAGGCTCCGGGCACACCTCCACTCGCTCCTTCGCCTGGCCCAGGGGGCCTCCTTTCTCTGAGGATGGGGAAGCAAACACTGCCGTCTGGGACAGGCTCTGGTCCAAGGGGCTCATCCTGGACCAGGACACAAGCCCTTCTTAGAACACTTAGTCAGTGTTTATGCCCACACCTCCAGAAATGGGTTTCAGTCTGCATGGACTGCTACAGCGAAATGCCAGACTGGGTGGCTCAAAGAACAGACGTGTGTCTCTCTTGGTTGTGTTGGCTGGGGCGAGGCTGATTCAGAGGCTGAGGCACTGGGCGAGGACCGGCCCAGTGCGGCAGGGTGAGGACTGGCCTGGTGAGACAGGCGAGTCACTCCGCCCTCTCTTCTCCAGCCCCAGTTCTGGACCTCCTCCCAACATCCCGCTCCAACAGAAAGACCAACGTGCTCTAAGGAGGATGCCAGCGGGGTCAGGAACAAACCAGCCCTGTTGTCAGGATTCAGTACAGAGTCTTTAGATGTGTTATAAGAGAGTTCACAAATTTGAAGCAAAAATTCGGGGATGTACTTGGGTTAAATTGAAAGCACAATTTCATGTTTTCTTGTCAAATGACTTTACTTGAGGCAACAAATGAAATATAATTTAACTCAACAGGAAATATCACACTTGGAGGGAAAAAAGAAGAAAAAAAAAAAAACACCTTAAAGCCAAACATTCTTTCCAAGGCACAGCACTGACATTTCCAGATTGACAGTAGAATGAATATGTTTCCATGAAACAAAACTGTGAGTCTAAACACTGGCTTCGAAATAATTTCCCACTTCGTCTCCACTTCAAGGCTCAGGGAACGATGCTTGTGGCCTTTCTCAGGGCCAGGTAGCCAGTGACAACATCGGATGGCAGCCTTCGGATGTAGGAAAACTCTTCGATGGTGCTGAACCGCAGCTTGCTCTGGGGGTCAGTGTAGTTGGCCTGGGCGGGAAGCAGGCACAGAGAAGGGCAGAGAGTTGGTGGTGGTGGTGGTGACTGTTCTAAGTTCAAGTTTAATAACTTCTCTATTTTACTGAAAGTGAAATATATTTTCATCATGTCTTACTGTCACCAGGAACACTAAATTGCTCACTTTGGCGAAGACACATTCATCTTCCCAGACTTGAGAAATACTTCAGGGTATGAATGGGAGGAAGAGCAGTAACCACAATGGACTCCAGGACTCTTCTGGTTGATGCCTCAAGGACCAAAGGCAACAGGTCCAAAACTGACTTCATGAAGATCATCCCTGCCTCCAGACCCCCACCTGCTCCACACGAATGTTCCAGAGGCAGGGAGCAGCACCTCCGCGCCTGCTGGCACACCCGCCCCTGCTTGCTGCCCCCCCTACTCCCAGTGCCCTCCTCTCCCACCCGTCCCCTCCCCATGCCACTTCCATGGCTCCCTGGGCGCCACTGCCATGCTCGACTGGCCACCTACATCCACTCTTCCACAGGAGGGACAGCCGTCCTACAACTTACAACTACAGCCAGGGTCATCTTTGCAACTTGCAATTCTGGTCATGTCCTTCTTCATGAAACCTCTCAATGGTTCTTCTCAGTTCTTGGGACAAAGGCCCAAGTGCTCAGCATGGTTCCTCAGGCCCTGCCAGCTCTTACTCAGCCCCATGTCCTCACTCACTGGTTCCAACTTGCCCGGCTCTGAGTCCCTCCCTCCTGTCATGCCCCATTTTCCCTTTCCTTGGGAGGGCCTCCACCCTGGCCCCCTATGCTCGGTCATCACCTATTCGTCCTATAGGACTCAGGCCCCAAGGTCATATCATCAGAGAAGCTTTATCTGCCCTCCCACAGGAGGTCAGGACCCCACCCTCCTCTGACCTCACCAGATGTGTCTCCTGTGGAATGCTTAGTGCTGTTGCTTTTTCATCATCTGCATGACTCTAACTGAGATCTGGGCTCTGAGACTCCCTGAGGCAGGAACCCTGTGGTGTGTTTATCACTGAATTCTGGCTCGGCTCCTAGTGCAATGCAGAGCACACAGTAGGCCTTCAGTCAGTGTCCAGCCAATGATAAATGAATGAATGAACCAACAAAGGGATGATTAGGACCATCACGGAAAAGAGATCTTGTTTCCCACTGACACACCAAAATTCTCTTTGGCGTGTTTTCCCATGTGCAAAGTGGAGACTCTAATTTACCCACCATATACCTCAAGGCACATGGTTTCCACAGATTTGGAAACAGAAGCCGTGAAGGTGAGTCATTTGGAGCTCCTTTAAAAAAAACTGTAAGATGCCATTAAAGTCTAGACAGACAACATCCAATTACTCAAGTGTGGCTTGTTCGCTCCAGTGTTGCTCATCTCTGCAGCTTAGAGCAGTGGTTCTCAGCCTTCCTAATGCCGCGACCCTTTAATACAGTTCCTCATGTGGTGGTGACCCCCAACCATCAAATTATTTTCGTTGCTACTTCATAACTGTACGTTTGCTACTGTGATGTCCTGGGCGACCCCTGTGAAAGGGTCTGGGACCCCGGAAGGGGTCGCAACCCCCGGGTTGAGAACCGCTGCCCTAGCGCAGCAGTGCTGATTCAGTCAGGGAGGGGAGTGAAGGAGCAACAGGCCATAGGGAACTGAGTCATAGGTTTCTCAAGTGCTACAAAGCCTCCATTTCTGCCACTGGGGACCTCCTGAGGTATTTAACGGCTTCCTGTCAGGAAAATGAGATTATTTCTTAAACACTAAAATTAATTAAAGCTCTATAAAAAATGAAACTTTGATCCTTTGATCCAGATAGTGCCTTTCTGTAACACGTGAAAGTCATGTAATATATGACAGTAATACAAAGGAAGGCTCAAACAGAAAAACAGCAACAAGTCCCTTCCGAGGCTCTGGGCCATGAGGCACTTAGATGAACTGACTGGCAGGGGAGGTGGCCCCGCAGTTCCGAGCAGGGGTGCAGGCGTGTACATCTGGCTGTGATCAACCGGCCTCTGTACACGAACCAGCCCAGCCTGGCTCCATTCCTGTGGCTGCCTCTCTCCTACCACCAGACTGCTGAGCCTGCCCGCCCAAGTTCAGACCTCACTGCCAAGAAGGCAGTGAATTCACTGCTGCTGAATAATGCGAAATACACAGATACTGTGGCACCAACGAGAGCTTGCACGGACGGAACCTGACCTAGTATTCTGAACAGAGGGGAGGATGCCAAGTGACACCACACACCTGAACAAGTAAAAACTGCACTCCTACAGTCGGAACCTCCCCCGGTTCCATCCCTGGAGCCCGAATGAAACAAAGGCTGCCTTCCCTTCCGGCCTCCCTCCGGGGTGGTAAGAGGCAGTGTTCACTGCTCCCCAGTCTCTCCCAGAGCCACTTTCCATAGCTTTGTGACAAGGGCTAAACACAGATGTGACCCTGCACACCTCCCTGCCATGCCCCCACACAGGGCAAACAGTCACTTAGCTGGCTGGGAAATGGCGGGTCAGTGTAAACATGAGTTGGGCTTTATTTTTAAATCCTCACCCGAGGATATTTTTCCATTTATCTTCAGACACAGTGGGAGGGAAGGGAGGGGGGGCAGAGAGAGACATCAATGTGTGAGACACACATTGATTGGTTGCCTCCCAGAGGACCCCAACCAGGACTGGGGTCTGAACCGCAACTGAGGTACATGTCCTTGACAGGAATTGAACCCACGATTCTTTGATCCCCAGGCCAACGCTCTAACCCCTGAGCCAAATCGGCCAGAGCTAAATAATTTTTAAAGAGTACAATCATCTCTAAAATGCAGAGGTTTTTTTTAAACTTGAGCAGTAAAAAATAATAATTGTCGTTTTCATGTAGTTAACATGATCTCTAAGAAGCATCTTTCATAGAGGCACAGGAAGGAGAGTAAAACTTGGGTCCCCTTCTTTCTGGAGCAATCCTCTCTCCAGACTGCCCACGTGATGCCCCAGGTCACAGCCACTCTGAAATGAACTGTGAACAACACTTCAGCACAAACCCGTTACCTATTCAAAGTATATGGGCTCCGGGCAGGACCAGTGGTGGTCTATATTCAAGACTAAGTAGACGATACTGTGAAATCTTCCTTTCAAGTCTGTGTTATAAGACACAGAGATGTAAATATACTCACAAGAAGACCTGAAACATCGGAGTATTTCTTAGCTGGTTTGAAGGATGGAGGAGCATCAATACTGAAGTCTGGGGGAAAAAAAAGAAGATAATGAAGCTGGCTTTAAACCAGTCATGTCCCTTCTAGGTCAAAAGCAGGCTCTGGATGTAGCTTTGCCCTGTCCCCACAGACCTTCTGCTCTAGCGGAACCACAGGAAAGCTCATCTGCTCACAAGCCATTTTCACCGTCTCAGGCTACATGGGCTGATGGTGATGAGATGCCAGACAACCCACTGCTTGGATCTCTGCATCCACACCCAGACAACTGACTAGCTCACTTGTCATCCATCTGAGTTACCCCCATGAGAGATGTGCAGTGGGACAGGAGCTGAAGGAAACTTTTACCTGTACTTTCCAATTAAATTGAACAGAACATGTAAGTGCTTTACACAGATTTGGAAATGCTGAGCATACAGCATTTACTATGAAAAACACCGGCTCAGAGGGTAAAACAGAGCTGGCCTTCAAGCTGGTTATAGAAAACCTCCTAAATCTGGGACAACCTTGTTCTTGGAAACACATTTTAAGAGTAGACTTCTGAATAAGAAGTTTGTCAAAGAGAAACACCAATATTATTATATCAGGACTCATTTCTCCAGATTGACATGTTAACAGTGACATTAAAAACCACATAACCATGACAACACAAACAAACAGATTCAACACAGATACAGTTATGAGAAAATGTACACAAAATCTCCCTATATTGATGCCATTATAAAATTCCTAAGCTAGAAATTGCTTCCTCCATTAATGCAAACACAGTAATGTAGGTTTGTTGTAAGAAAGTTCCTAGTCTAAACATTATAAACTCATAGAAGGCGATAAACAGCTCACAGTTAGGATCGTTCAGTTGCCACGGCAATGCCCTTTCAGAAGCGAGAATTTGTTTCAGGTTCTTCCAGGTTCTATTCTTCTTGCCAGCTACTGCACCACCATGGCCAGAGTGCTCAAGTTAGAAGCATGGATAGGGAGAAACAAAAATGAATGGAAAGTACGATTTCAGAATGTGCCATTTATGCTTATTCTTAACTGTAATGCACTCCTCATTCTGTCAGCAACCATTTGTACCCCTAAGCCTCTTTCTAAAAAGTATTACTCTGTACACTTCAATCTTACTTATAAAAAACAATGCTTTTGGACTGTCAAAATCCATGAGTTAGTTGGTGATGGAAGTAGAAATAAAAGGTTATGTCTTTTACATGCACACAGGAAATCACATCCTTTATGGCGTCTAACTTTATAGAATTCACTCATGGATTTCCCATTACTTTCCCATTTACTACAAAGTTATATTTTAACTCATGACCACATTGCTAAACTCCCCTCTGAGGGCAAACGTTTGCCTTGCAAATTGCTGGCGATCCTGGAAAACCCAAGTATGCCTCAATCATGGCAAGGCAAGCCCTTTGGAAATTTTTTTTTCTTTTTGTCCTATGAAGATGGCAAAATAAAATGGCAAAGAATAGCAAAAATCTGTTGCAGGCACTGACAATAGTGTATTTTCAAAACTAATGAAAAATAAGCTTAATGGTGTAATCTGAATCACTGTAGTGTATTATGTCCCTCGAGAACGACAGCCTGCTTCTACTTTACAGTAAAATAGCTGAGATTTACTTAAAGAAAGGGCCCTTCTTCTCCTGACCCCAACCCTCCCACACAGCCGATGACAGAGGAGGTGGCAACTGGAGAAAGGGACGCCAGTGCCACCTGGGCTGGAGGCCCAGCACAGCCAGAAGCCAAGGTATGCTTGTTTGGTTTTTAATTCATCGAACATCTTAGATGCTTACCACAAAGTTGGGATCCTTAAATGGCAAAGGCTTGGAAGTTTTTTCCATAGGTCCTGTGTTAAAATCAGAGGGCACCATTTTATTCTCACTCACGGCTTCCATGCTGATACCCTTAAAACACAGTAAGAATAGTAGGACGTCAGCATCTTTTAACCGAGTTCCCTAACTCATCTCTCCACAGGACATAAGATGACAGCACAGGACATGTGAGGAAGGGTGGTGTGCCCAGAGTCCCAGCAGATGGCCTGCACCGGAGGAAGGCATGTTGGACTCGCCGCAGCACCCGCTGTGCAGAAGCCACAGGAGAGACCAGGAGAAGCCAGGACCCAGCTGCCATGCTTTCCAGCCCCACTATGTGCCAAGCACAGGGATGGGCGCCCCACCCAAACTGGCTCATTTAACTATGACAAGGTAGTGTTATTCTCCCCAGTATACAGAAAACACTGAGGCTCTCCACGACACTACATGGCCTCTACTCCTGCTGATCTTGTCAAACTATCTTGAAACATTAAGACAATAAAAGGTCCAGCCCCTTTAAGGCTCTCAACAGCCAGATCCCAGGCTAGAGCCGGTATGCTTAAGGGGCACAACAGGACGTGGGCACTCGTGAGAAAGGAGAATAGAGGGAGAAGAGGCTAGACGGTCAGCTGGCTGCGGCCACAGTACGCTGACAAGAAGGCTAATATGCTTTAAGACAAAAAGCCATTTAAGCTAAGAATCACAAAGAAAAAAACAAGATAAAGTAAGAAATCACTTCTGATTTGTAATGCAATTTCCAATCTTTCAGACTGCAATCAACTGGGTTTTGATATATAATTTACGTAGAGCGAAATGCACCGATCTTAAGTGTAGGTCTCATGAGTTTTGCCAAATGTTTACATTTGTGTAACCCATGCCCCCATAGAGATAGAGAACATTTCCATCATTCCAGAAAGTTCCCTCATGCCTTTTCCTAGTCAATCCTTTCCACCCTCAGGGGCAACCACCGTTCTGATTTCTACTGCATTACTGCTGCCTTTCTAGAACTTCATGAATGGAATCTGATGGCATGTACTGTTGTGTCTGGCTTCCTTAGCTCAGTATGATGTTTATGAGATTTATCCATGCTGTTGCATGGATCAATAGTTTGTTTCACTGAATTTGTATACTACTCAGAGAGTATTATTTTACTGTATGGATGTACCACAATTTGTTTATCCATTTTCCTGGTGATAAAATAAGGTCCTTTTCAGTCTTCAGTTATTATAAATAAAGCTGCTATGAAATATCTGTTCAAGCCTTTGTGTGGACATGTGTTTTTACTTCTCTTGGGTAAATTCCTAGAAGTGGAATGGTTGGGTTATAGGGTAAGTATATGTTTAATGTTATAAAAAAACTGCCAAACCATTTTCCTAAATAGTTGCACTCTTATATTTCATTAGTGCAACAGAGTTCTGATTGTATAAATACATACTCCACCCCACCACTCCTACCACTTCCTGCAATGGCATCCACATGGGCGAACAGGGAGTGGGGGAGACAGGGACCACTCGGTCTGCTGCGACAGTTCTCTGAAAGATCTCTTCTCAGACACCTGCTCAGACTCCGCTCCAGGATCTCTCCACATGGGCCTGTGCTCCAGCCAACGACCCTGGGGCCTGTGCTCCTTCTCTGTTCCTACCACCTCTTCTGTCTGCACTGCCTCCCTCCATTCGTGGTCCTTCCTAACTTTTCTCCCCTCCAAGGCCTAACTCAAATGTCAACTCACTAAGAGCTAAGAAACTTCCAATCTCTCAGCCTTTTCTGTAGCCACAAGTGATGTCTCTTTCTCCTCTCCCTTCCTGCCCTCCCTCCCTTCCTCATTGCCTCCCTCATTCCTCCTCTTTCCACCTCTCCCTCCCACGATGGCATAACTAAATGCCAGCATCGGTATTTTTTTTTTTTTTTTAATCCTCACCTGAGGATATTTTTCCATTTTTTGTACAGATAGAGTGGGAGGAGAGAGAGAGGAAGGGAGAGAGAGAGAGAAACATCGACGTGAAGGGACACATCGAGTGGCTGCCACCCACACGACCAACCAGGGCCGGGGACAAACTGCAACCGAAGTACGTGCCCTTAGCGGGAACCGAACCCAGGTCTCTCCGGACCGCAGGCCGACGCTCTAACCGCTGAGCCAAACTGGCCAGGGCCAGCATCGGTATTTAAGGTGCATGTGCTCAGGGGTTCATTATAAGGAATCGTCTCTGGGGGATGCAGTGGCCAAACACAGGAAGGATAATTCAGAAACAAATGGACTTGGTTATCTACAGGGCAGAGGGAACAAGGTGGAAAGGACAGGGAGGTGGGAAAGGGAAGAGACAGGAGTAAACTTCTTTGAGTATAACTTCTGTAGAGTTTTGATCTTTTGAACCATGTTAAAGTTTCACATACTAAAGAGAAAATAATAATAAGACCAACAAGGATGGGGCAACAGATGGAGGAAATGGAATACAAACAAAACCAAGTCAACCTAACTGTATTTGGAATGAATAACAACTGCACATAAGGGGGGAAAAGGGAGAAATCACATTTGTGACTTTGAACACAGTACTCTGACAATACAACCTAAGGCTGAAGGCAAAAAGAACCCTAAACAATTGATGGGTTTGTTTCCCACAAGGGTATACCACTTTATATGTATTCTAAGATGAAGTAAAATAAGGAACGAGGGAAGGCTGGAATGACCCTTGCACTAGTGGATTAAAATCAGAAGTTATCAATATGAACTCACGGTTTTTAACTTAGTTCTCTCCCGAGAGGGCTGGAAACAATGAACAATAGGCACACCCTTGTTCAGATCCTGGTTTCTCAATATTGTTTTCCAAGAACTAGTTGTGATCCTTGAAGAAACAGCTGGTTCTGGGCCTGAGTCAGGAAAATACAGGATGAGCCTCCAGATGCCAGAAAGTAAGGAAGCTAGTGTACCAGTTTTCTAGAGCTGCCATAACAAAATATCACAGACCAAGTGCTTTGAACGGAGAACCTTATCCTCTCACAGTTCCGGAGAGCAGAAGTCCAGGATCAAGGTGCCAGCAGGCTTGATTTCCCCTAAGGCCTTGTAGATGGCCATCATCTCACTGTGTCCTCACATGACTTCTCTTCTGTACACGTGCCTGGTGTCTCTCATTTTTCTTAAAAGGACACCAGTCCCATTAGATTAGGGACCCACCCTTATGACCTCATTGAGCCTTAATTACTTCTTTAATGGTCCCATCTTTAATACAGAAACATTCTGAGGTGTACTGAGGGTTAGGACTACCACATATGAATCTTGGGGGGACACAATTCAGTGCATTATACCACTCAAAAAATGACAGAGGGATAGTAAAGGATACAGGCACCTGTTTGAAGAGTGCCCACTAGCCAAACCTGAGCAACAAATTGAGCAACAACCTGAGCAACAAATTAAAAAATGATAATCCAGAATATATAAAGAACTCTTATGACTCAATGATAAAAAGACAAATAATTCCATTTTAGAAAGGAGCAAAGATTTCAACAAACATTTCTTCAAAGATACAGAAATGGCCAGTAAGCACATGAAAAGTTGATCAACATAATTAGTGATTAGGAAAATGTCAATCAAAACCACAAGAGGTATTATTTCACACCCACTAGAATGGCTATAATAAGAACCATAATGACGTGTTAGTGAGAATGTAGAGAAACTAGAACCTTCATACACTGCTTGTGAAAATGTAAATGGGTTCAGTCACATTGAAATACAGTTTGGTTACCTGTTTTTAGAGGTTAATCTAACAGCAAATGAGCCAGGGACTCCATGGAACCTGAGGAGGAAGCTGTAGCTGGCATGCAGGTCAAAAAGAGTGAGAGTCCCCTGCTCTTTCGAGAGGTGGTAGTCCAGGGGAGAAGTGAGGAGCTTGGCCCGCTGGCTGAAAGGCATATGAGATAAGCAGGTCACCTGAGGAGCCATTCGCTGGAGGACTCTAACAATTCGTTAAGGATGCACCACAGGACTACTCAGTGAGGAAAGGCGGATGAAATGGGCTGTCAGGAGGCTGGGCCTACAGGGTGGCCGAACTTAAGTGAGAGAGAGAAAAACAACTCCAAGAACGATGCAGTGAGCATCCCATCAGAACAGAAAAACCATGACAGCTAGGGACAACTCAGAAAAACAGGTGGAATGTAAAAGAGGTTTCCTGGGGCCAGATCCACTTTAAGTTTCAACTTTATTGAGTTTTTCATAAAGAAAATGACTACTTATGTAATGTTGTTTCCATCTGGGAGGAAATAAGCAAACAGAATCGCTATAGAAGCAAAGAGGAGATAGCAAAGGGAAATGAAGAACCAGGCCCCGAGGCCTTCAATGATGATAAAAGAACTGTCCATAGAAGATGCCCTGCTCACAGTGCTGCCATCCTCAAGCAGTGGCATTAGCTTTATCTTCTTCTCCAGAACTGCTGAAAGACTGCACTTTCCCCTTTCTGTTCACGCCTCTTCCCTGATTCCTAGTGGGTAAAGTCAAAGGCACAGCGAAATCCTCGGAAGGAATACAGGGCATTCTTTTGACATAGGCAGTTCCCAGGCCCAGGGAGACCCAGAACACTGACAGGCAGAAATGCCTCATCAAGACCCAGGCAGAGGCTATGAAGAAAAGCAGGGACCTCAGCAAGCCCCTGTGGGTGAGAAGGTCTAGGAGCTCTGGCAGAAAGGAGGTGCACCAGCAGACAGGTGCACCTGCTGAGAAGAAGGGGAAGGTAGTGGGGAAAAAGAGCTAGAAGTTGGCATCAACATTCTGAGGGGCACGCTTGAAAAGAGTCAAAAAGGGAATGAGATGATGTACTCATGCACTGATTTTCCAAACCGACCCCTCCTGCTCTCTTGGCCACTCCATCCTCTTCTCGTCCCTTGTCAGCAGGCCAGACCTCACTGAGCAGTCAAGATGAGGAAGGGGCAGGGAAAGGAAGCCATCCTGAGGTGAACTAAGCTGCATCCTTCCAGAGCTGCATCCTGCCTGACCAGGCTCCAAAAGAATATTCTACTCCGGCCCAGAACTGGGTTTTCTGCTTTTCTTTCCTCTTTAACTCCGCCCTCCATGTTACTGTGCCCTCATTCTTCCTTTCCCCTGGGCTTCCGCCAAGCTGAGACTCCTGTGTCTCTTGGTGATGGAATGAGAGGGAGAGACCTTCAGTCAAAGGGAGGATGTCTGGCAGGTGGGGATGCAATAAAATAAAATTTAATATGGTGTACAGTTTCCATATTACTAAACCACTATAACACTAGGAGACTTTACGAGATGAGCTGTACTGCCCCGAGGCATGAACGCTCTAAGAAGAGGAAAGAAGGAACACCTAGTACTAAAAGAGCTGATGTAAGTCCTAGGGAAGAGAAACCTGGCCTGCTATCAAAGAATAGCACACGCCTGCCCTGAACCGGGACAAGTCAGTGAGGCCTCAGCTGTGCCCAACTATAGAAACCAAATAAATGGCTTCATCCCTCCAGACTGCATGACTGCATGACTGACTCAGACTTAAGGATAACTTGGGCATTCTATCTGTGGTTACGAATAAGAGGAACAAATGTCCTTTGTCTTATCACTGAAAAAAAATCAAATGTCCTCTTACATCTAATAGTATTCTGACCCTAATTAAAACTACAAGGTTAGTGTAGGGTTACTTAAAACAGAAAACTGTGAGATGCAACCCAAATATTCAATAATGTCAATTAAATAACAGCATTTGATTCTTTGGAAAGTCTATCAACATAGAGACAGGTTCATGAAATAATGCTAAGTAAAAAGGAGGCTACACAATGTTATATACCAAATACAATGATGAAAAATTACATTTATATATAGAAAACACAAATAATTATAGTTGGTAGAGAAGATTGAGTGACTTTTTATGTCCACTTGAAAAATGGGGGAAAAAAGGAACTTCTAAAATTTAACATTATCATGTTTCTTAAAAGCTGGGGTAGAATGATTTTTTTTTAAATGAATAAATCCAATCAGTCCCATTCTCTGGCTGCCCCCAATTACAGAACAGTCTATTCATCATCTGCAGTCTACATTAACCTTCTAATGCATGGCTGCCTCTCATTTAAATGTTGTGTTAACTGCTTAACCATCACAAATCAGTCTATTACATAACACTCAGTATGTAGGTCAATTAGGACTCTGCAGATTTTAACAACTTGAACAGACATCTGGAAAGTCTAAAATGCCCTGTGTTGATCTCACAACCCACCCCCCTTAAGCATTTCTCTGTACATGGACTTGGTTATATCAGAGATGCAATTGTATCTTCTAAGGTAGAGAGTGATAAGAGTGGTATCAAGAGAGGCAGCATGAAAAAAAGAATGTGGCCCTGGCCGGTTTGGCTCAGCTGTTAGAGCATCAGCCTGCGGTCCAGAGAGACCCGGGTTCGGTTCCCGCTAAGGCCATGTACCTCGGTTGCAGTTTGTCCCTGGCCCTGGTTGGGTTGCATGGGTGGCAGCCACTTGAGGTGTCCCTTTCATGTCAATGTTTCTCTCTCTCTCTCTCTCTCTCTTCCCCTTCCTCCCGCCCTCCCTCCCTCCCACTCTATCTGAACAAAATATGGAAAAATGTCCTCAGGTGAGGATAAAAAAAAAAAGAATGTGGACTCTGGAGAGTCTGCATGGGTTCCAATCCTGCCTCTACCACTTGGTAGCTGTGTGACCTCGGGAAAGTTATTTAATTTCTCTATGCTCCAGTCTTTTTATCTGTAGAATAACAATTCACAGGGGGCTGTTTTGAGGATTAAACGAGTTGGTTTAGTGCTTGAAACAGTCCTGACCAGTTTTGCTCAGTGGTTAGTGTGTCAGCCCTCAGACCAGAGTCTGGGGTTCAATTCCGGTCAGGGGCACATACCTCAGTTTCGGTTCGTTTTCCAGCCCTGGTCTAGGTCATGCGGGAGGCAGCTTATCGATGCGTCTCTCTCGCATCGATGTTTCTCTTTCTCTCCCTCACACTCTAGCTGAAGATAAATGGGAAAATATCCCTGGGTGAGGATTTTAAAAAAAAGAAAGTGCTTGAAACAGTGCCTGGTATATAGTAAATGCCCAATACATATTAATTACTATTATTTATCATGATTTCTTTCACTTTAGCAGAGTGAGTACCATGGTAGGAGAAAATACAATGCATATATCTTGCAAAGGGCTCCAATCAAGACTATATAAAAACTCCTGAATATTAATAATTATTATTTTTTTAATTTATTTTTTATCCTCACCCAAGGACATTTTTTCCATTTTTTGTTCAGATAGAGTTGGAGGGAGAGAGAGGAAGAGAAAGAGAGAGAAACATTGATGTGAAAGGGACACATCAAGTGGCTGCCACCGGTACGACCCAACCAGGGCTGGGGACAAACTGCAACCGAGGTACGTGTCCTTAGCGGGAACCGAACCCAGGTCTCTCTGGACCACAGGCTGATGCTCTAATCGCTGAGCCAAACTAGCCAGGGCTTAATAATTTTTAAAAAACCAATTAGAAAAAATCAGGCACATCACAAAAGATACTGGCATAGTTGATAATCATATGAAAAGGTGACTGATATAATTAGTAATCAGTAATCTGAGAAATAAAGAAAAATGAGATAGCACTATATATCTATCAAAATGGCTAAAATGAAAGGTGAATGATTCCAAGTGTTGTGAGGATATAGAGCAACTAGAAGGGTCATACTTTGCTGGTGAAAATGCACAATAATGCAACTACTTTGGGAAATACTGTTTAACAATTTCTAACCAAGTTAAATGTACGTCTATCTTATGATCCGGTGATTATACTTCTACCCATTTACCCAAGATAAATGAAAGCCTGTATCTACACAGACTTGTACACGAATGTTCAGAGGAGCTTAAAAAACAGTAAATAACTCAAATGTCCATCAGTTGTGGTATGTTTACATAATGTACCAGATATACTAACACAGATAATAACATGAATGAATGAATGAATGACTCTTGAAAACAGTTTCACAGAGAAACCTAAATAGACACAAAAGAATATGTTCTGTATGATTCCATTTATATTCTGTTAAAAAACCCAAAGTCATCTACCCGGTGTGGTTCAGTAGCTGAGCATCCACACATGCACCGAGAGGTGGCTGGTTTGATTCCCAGTCAGGGCAGATGCCCAGGATGTGGGCCAGACCTCCACTGGGGGATGTTCTCTCTCATCGATGTTTCTCTCTCTCTCTCCCTCTCCCTTCCTCTCTCTCTAAAAACAATAAAGAAAAAAAATTTAAAAAACAAAACAAAACATGCAGTCAGTCTATGGTGAGAGATGTCAGAACAGGAAGGCAGTAATGCCTGTAAAGGGTCACCAGGGAATTTTCTGGGGCTCTTAATAATGCTATCTTGATCTGGGTGGTGGCCACATGTAAAATGTCACTGATCTGCACTCTTAAGATCCGTGCATTTTACTGGATGAAAACCATACCTTAATAAAGTATTTTTAAAAGGGGAAGCACTATTAATTACCAATGGAACAAAGGACAGGCAGTTAACATCTCTAGACAGCGTTCTGGGTGAAGGATGCCACATCATGTGCCAGAGAGGACACAGTAACACACTCCATCTCTGCTTTCTTGTTGCTCTAAATAAAATGCAGGAGCCAAGGCAAACACTCATCTAAGCTAGCCACTCCTCTGCTGGAAGTTCTTTGCCGGAATTTTGGAGCCTAGAATGTGCAGCTGCCGTTGGGTCTGCACCAGGCACTGTGCTCAGGGCTTTCCGACCGTGATCTCACTGAATCCGTGGAAGAACCCCCTACGGTGAAACCACACACAGTGGGACGGGAAACCGGATCAAGAAAACACTTTTCTGAGGATGAGGGAAACCACCCGTATCAACACATCTTGGTACTCCTCCATGTAGGGCTTTGGGGCACTCTGCACCTCACAGACCCTGGGTAAATGTCTTTCAAATGGACGAAGGTGAGACTCGATAACGTCTGCCTCACTGAAAGTCACAGAAAGAAAAGTCCTGAGCCTCGCTCTAAACGCCACCTTGAAGGGAAGAGACAGACCTTCCTCTAAGTCAGTAAAAACCTCCCTACCTCTCCAGCTTTTCTCAAAGACAATGCAACGCGGGTAGCTGTTTACCCATTTTCCACCTGTTCAAACTAAGGGAAAATTGTTTCACCAGCACTGGGCACAAGCACAGCAAAAAGCTGACGCCCCCAAACCGGCGCATGCGTCCTGGCTCGCTCTGCCCTGCAAACCCGCCCTCACTCCGCCGAACAAGGCCGCGCGCATGCGCTCTCGCCCTGCCCCAAACTCGGCTACCGCGCACGCGCAGGCTAGTCGCGCTACAACTTACCTGTGCAAAGCTCGAGGCGGACACTTTTTTCTTCTTACTGGCGCTATATCCTCCGCTGCTGCTGCCGTTGTGGGAAGGACTGGCTGGTCTCTTCTTGCTGTTCCGGGCTATCCCCGGGACGGCAGTGGTGGCCACAATTGGAATTTGAGCCGCCATCCCTACCCTGAGTCGTCCTCCTCCCCCCTCCTCACTGCTTTCCCAGTGAAGGCCCTGGGACTTCCGGCTCGCGGTTACTTCCGTCTTAATGCCTGAAAACCCGGCCTGGACTGTTCGCCGACTTCTCTCGGCCGAATCCGAAAGGCGGAGCGAATCTGAAAGGCGGAGCTCGGTGCACCCAATTCCGTCCGGGCGGGAAGATGTCTGCGGGGCTATGTCCTGCTCCTCTGGGCACGTGCTTGGAAATCCCTAGCGATCGAGGACATGTCGCCATCTTTTTTTGTTTGTTTTTTAAACAACAGGGTTTTAAAATATAACTATGTTGTCTTTTCTAACTTTAGGTCAGAAGACGGTTTGCTTTTGATATCTGTAAGAGTAAAGGCAGGGTCATTCTGGGTGGATTAGACAGCTGCTAGCTTTCCCCTTGTTCACTGCCTTCTCGCAGGGAAGGAGTTTGTATATCAGTAGAGCCCAAATAGACTTAAAGGGTAGAGTGGTTATTAACCTTCTAGGGGTCACAGACCTCTTTAAGCATGTAAGCTAGGCTACCCTCCATCTCCCATCCCCACCAAATGTATACAAGCCTAGACAAAATATTACATATAATTCCAGGGAGTTCATAGATCTGCTGAAACCTATTTATGAACTTCGGTGGAACACGCCCTTGTTATGGTGCCACATACTATATACTTCTTCAGTGCCTTTATGACTTAAACTGCAGGGTTTATAATTGGTTAATGTCTTTGGCTTCTGCTAGAATGTAAGCTCTATGAGTTCAAGGCCAGTTATGTTTTGTTCATTTATCTTTCCCAGGTCACAATACCTTAGAAGTCATTGGTACATTATAAATATGTATAGTGAAATAATAAATGAGTGAACCCCGTGCAGTAATTAGTTGAAGCTACTGTGTACAGGAAATTGGCATATGTGAATCTGGATCTTTGAAAGAAATAGGCTGCAGAATGACTTAGAGATGAGAGAGAGAATAGTTAGGGAAACCAGCAATAATGTTACATCTTTTCTCCTTTGTAGAAAGGAATAATTTACCAGTCTTAAAGGGTTCTCTCCCATGCCCAGTCTCCACCTCCATCTTCACCTAAATTTAGGCTTCCTTTTTTCTTATCTCAATGGCTGCACCAACCAGCCAGCCACCTAAGCCAGAATCTAGGGGTTGACCCTGGCTTCCTGGGCCCATCCTCTCTAGTAACCTACCCTTCCATTCCAGTCAGCCGCCCTCTCAGCTCACTCCTCGCCTTCACCACTCCTGCAGTAATCCATCTTCTCTCATCTGGATCCCACGACAGCCTCCAGAGGGAAGTTTGGATCTTCATCTTTTCCTTTTCCTCCCTGACCCCAGGCCATCCTTCACACTGTCTGCCAAAATGAGCTCTCTAAATCACAAATCTAATCATACCACTTACTTATATTCTTCAGGGCACTTTTACCTTAGCATATAAGGTCCTTAATAACTGGGCTCTGCTCCCTTCTCTTGCTTCATTCCCAACACTTAATTTTCTCTGCTCCAGCAAGGGACCAACTATTTCTGAAAGAATATATTGTTCTCTTAACTCATCATACTTGTTTCCATTATTTCCTCTCCTAGGACTTTGCTCCTTTGTCTCAGTTTATATGCTGCTTCCAGTGAAAAGCTTTCTGCCATCTGTTATACCCTCCTTACCTCCCTTCTTCCTTATTCGTACCCTGTATATGCCTCTGAGGGCATTGAGTATACAGGGTGCTCTTCTGGGCACCTTCCTATAATCCCTTGGTAATAAATGTTTATTGAGTTCAAACACCAGTTCTCTACTTTTTTTCTTTTTTGGTACATGCCTCTAACGGGAACCGAACCCGGGACTCTCTGGTCCGCAGGCTGACGCTCCCACCGCTGAACCAAACTGGCCAGGGCCTGTTCTCTACTTTTAAGAAATTAAATACCATCTGACTTCCCATTGCTAAATTCAGTCCTGATCTTGTCTGATCCCTTCCTGAAATCCTTCCCTTGGGATCTGGAATACCACCATCCTTTTATTTTCCTTTTCCCTAACCATTTTATTTATTTATTTATTTATTTATTTAAATCTTTATTGTTGAATGTATTACAGATGTTCCTCATTTCTCCCCCATTGACCCCTCCTCCCCACTCCCGCCACCCTCCCGCCTTTTCCCACACTGTTGTCTCTGTCCATTGGTTATGCATATAAGTTCTTTGGTTTATTTCTTCCCACCCCCCAACCCCTTTCCCTTGAGGTTTGTCAGTCTAGTACTTCTTAATCCCTTCACCTTTTTCACCCATTCCCCCAAACCCCCTTTCATCTGGTAACCAACAAAATATTCTCTGTTATCTATGAGAATATTTCTGTTCTGCCTGTTCATTTTGTTTGTAGATTCCATCGTCGATAAATATGTATTCATTGCCATTTTGTTTGTTCATATATTTTATCTTTTTCTTCAAAAAGACCCTTCATCATTTCATATAATAATTGTTTGGTGGTGATGAACTCCTTTAACTTTTTCTTGTCTGGGAAACTCTTTATATGGGCATCAATTCTAAATGACAGCTTTGAAGGATAGAGTAATCTTGGTTGTAGGTTCTTGCTTCTCATCACTCTGAATATTTCTTGCTACTCCCTTCTGGCCTACAAAGTTTCTTTTGAGAAATCAGCTGACAGCCTTATGGGAACTCCCTTGTAGGTAACTAACTGCTTTTCTCTTGCTGCTTTTAAGATTCTCTCTTTGTCTTGAACCTTTTGCATTTTGATGATGATGTGTCTTGGAGTGGGCTTCTTGGGGTTCATCTTGTTTAACTCTCTGTGCTTCCTGGACTTGTATGTCTGTTTCCTTCACCAAGTTAGGAAGGTTTTCTGCCATTATTGTTTCAAACAGGTTTTCAAGTTCTTGTTCTCTCTCTTCTCCTTCTGGCACCCCCAAGATGCGAATGTTGGCACGCTTGAAGTTGTCCCAGAGGCTCCTTACACTCTCCTCATTTTTTTGGATTCTTTTTTCTTTTTGCTGTTCTGACTGGGTATTTTTTTGCTTCCTTATATTCCAAATGAATGGTTTGCTTCTTGGATTTACCTACTCTACTATTGAATCTGTGTAAATTATTCTTTATTTCAGTTAATGCCTCCTTCATTTCTGACTGTGCATCCATCATTTCTGACTGGTCCTTTTTTATGCTCTTGAAGCCCTCACTTAGTTCATTGAGCATCATTATAAGCAGTATTTTGAACTCAGCATCTGTTACATTGCTTATCTTCATTTCACTTAGTTCTTTTCTTGGGGTTTTGTTCTGTTCTTTCATCTGGGATCTGTTTCTTTGTCTCCTCATTTTGGCTGCCTCCCTGTGTTTGTTTCAGTGTATTACTTAACGAGAGGTATGGGGCTAGCTGAGACCAGATGCTGCTTGTTTGAAAGAATTTAGGAAAACCTGAAGCAGGATCCAAGACAGGCCAATCCTATGGTTAAGCAAGTGGCAACATCTTGGGTGGGCCTGAAAGTTGGGGGGGGGGGGCTCAGGGAATCACCAGGGCGGGGCTACCAGTGTGAGCCAGGTTGCTGGAGTCCCAGATATGGTTTCTGTCTGCCGCCCCAGGGAAGGGCTCACCAAAGAAATAAAGGCCTCTGACAGCACGTTTGTCCCAGAGAAAGCCCCCTCTCCAGCCCTTGCACCAATGCCAAACAGCTCAGTTCTTCCCTGTATGTCTCTGGTGCCCCTCGAGCTGCCTCCCCTCCAAGCTTAAAGGGAGTGAGTCCAATAAGTCCGTGCACGGGCCCTTTAAGGAGTGGCCTGGGGCTCCAGCTGCATCAGGTTCCCTGAGCCTCAGTTCCTGCTGGTTTTTCCAGCCAGAAGTTATGGGGACTTCTATTCCTGGCACTGGAACCCTGAGCGGGGCATCTGGTGTGGGACGGGGAACCCCTAGTCTTCGGGGACCTTCCCAGCCGAGGTCCTCCTGATTTTTATCCGACACACGTGAGTGTGGGACCTGCCCGTCCGCCTCTGCCCCTCCTACCAGTCTCGATGTGGCTGCTGCTTTAATTCAGTAGTTGTAGGACTTCCATTCAGCTTGATTTCAGTCCCTAACCATTTGTCTTCTCTGTGACAGTCTTCTTCTACCAACTGGTTTCTAATTGTACTACAGGTTATTTAAAATATAGATTATGTAGCCCTGGCTGGTTTTGCTCAGCAGTTAGAGCGTTGGCCTGCGGTCCAGAGAGACCTGGGTTCGGTTCCTGCTAAGGGCACGTATCTCGGTTGCAGTTTATCCCCGGCCCTGGTTGGGTTGTGCGGGTGGCAACCACTAGAGGTGTCCCTTTCACGTCGATGTTTCTCTCTCTCTTTCTTCCTCCCACTCTATCTGAACAAAAAATGGAAAAATGTCCTCGGATGAGGATAAAAAAAGTATATATATATATATATGTTATGTAGTCCCCCAGCAGATACACAGTCTTACAGTTAGTTTCCCAAGTGTTTCTGATAATCAACCAGGTTTGAAACCAGGTTCTTCCTGCTCAACCCTTACACATTTAGAGTTCCTTGGTGCTTAGTCAAAGGCCCTCTGTCCTTTCCAGACCATACTCTTACAGGCATTTTACCAATTCAGGGAGGCGCCTCAGGTACCATCTAAATTCAGACCACTTTCAGATTTGCTTCTGTTATCTGGGTCTTTCTCCAAGGATACATACTCTGATATAAAATTCCCCCACCCAGCCCTGGCTGATTTGGTTAGTGTGTTGGCTCATGGACTGGAGAGTCCTCGGTTCAATTCCTGCTAAGGGCACATACCTCAGTTGCAGTTTGTCCCCGGCCCTGGTTGGGGTTGTGTGGGTGGCAGCCAGTCGATGTGTCTCTTTCACATCAATGTTTCTTTCTCTTCCTCCCTCTCTCCCTCCTGCTCTATCTAAAGATAAATGCAAAAATGTCCTTGG